CTATTCACGGCCCCTTATCTCCTTCGGCGGAGTTCAGCCCATGACTTGGTCCCGAACCGTGCTAATGGCGGAGCGACTTGCAACAGCGACCTCCTTCCGCTTTTTCTCACCGTACATACAACCTCATTTCAGCCATGGGCCAGTGCAGATTCATGCCTCTGACATGCCGTACTTCATTGGATTGCATATGCGAAACTTTACAGCTGACGATGAGCTTGTCGATCGATTTTATGCGAAGAGTTTCTTAAATTTCATTCATGGGCGGAAACCTGATAAAGGTGAGTTTGAATACTCCCAACCCTTTGAGGGTCCCCGCCGAACTTCAATCTCTCGGTTATAACGATTCACCGCTAGTCCATCGACGAGGTAGTAGGGTGAAGGTGAGGTCCCTAGACAGAATTGAAAGGCATACCCACGAGTGACTAAGTTGGCCATTCCCTTCCGTGGAAAGGGGTCCGAGCTATGTGAAAAGGGTCAGAGGGGGTGGGGAAGAGGTGATGACATTGCTCGTGCAAATCATGGTGATTCCGGGCTTGCAGCGGAGAAATGATGGTGAGAATTTATTATCAAGCATAGGAGGGGACAAAACGGCTCCCAGCAGTTAAACTACATTCCTTATGCAAAAAAGGCCCCCACATGTCGTGAGAAGTGGCTCATTCGCCTCAAAGAGCTCCTCCCCTACGCTTAGGAAACATTCTATCCCATGGCTCATCGCGTTTCTTCCCCCTCCCCCTCTTTCCTCACACTGACCATTACGAACAGAAGAATACCTTTATCACAACTCCAGAGTGATGAGTGATCTGCAACACTTAGTTCTCTCCCTTTGTAGAGAAGGGAACGCAGTTTGCCTTTGTTCTTTGAAATGTCGTAGGACGTTTTTCTTGGAAAACCCTTGTTTATGTCCAATACTTTCTCGGATTAGGGAAATGGCACGGGTTTGTTTGTGTGGCTTGACAATTCAATTTCAGTTAATGACAGTTGTTTTCGATTCTCTTTGCTGTTCTTTGGCCATCCTGAATGTGTCCTTTAATTCAGCTCGTAGCTGTGAAGACGAGAAAAGCAGTCCCATAGCTACCCGAGGCCCTCACCTTGCACTGACTGAGTGCACGCTTTGCTTGGCAACGGGCCAGCAATGCGGTTTATTCGGCTGAAGGCCCGAATCACCTTTGATATATTTTCTCCATGTAATCTCACTTACATACGATTCGGAAATTTCTTTCCTTTGCAGACTGGCTGCCGTTCGATCCATCAAAGCGAAATTATTACTCTGTTGAAGCGAATTTCTCGAAAGGCATTTTTCCGAGTAACAAAATGGACTACCATTCCGAAATAGTTGATTATTGGCTTCACAATATGACCGCATTCGATAGAAGTCTTTCTAAAAAGGTGAGCTGGTAATCATTTTAATCATTATTATCCCTTTGTGCGGTATTCGGCCCTGCAGGGCACTGGCGCGTGCGGATGCGACGCGGTAGCATTTGCCTTTCATCGCGACCGCGCGCGTCACTAGCGCGCAAAGTGCACACACATAATTTTTAAGTTATTTTTTGCAGGCTGCTATTCAACTGCTTTCCGAACAAATTGATGTTACGCCAAGCCACTCCATATTCCGCACCGCACTGTCCGGTCTACTGTTCGGTCTCAGTCTAGCTCTTGTATTCTTCAATTCTGATGGCAGTATGGGCCGCACTGTCCCCGCAGGATCCACCGAATCACGAGCAAGTTCCTTTAGTGCACCGGAAAGAAACTCAGATCAATCGAAAGCAGACTGTTATTGTGTCGTCATTGAAGAGACGCTGACGAAGGAAAGGGAAGAACCGGTGATTCCCGTACATGTAGTACTGCCGCATAGAATTTAACACACTGCCACATTTGATTTGTTATAGTGCTTTGTAATGTTCGACTAACAAGCTATCATAATAAAAGAAGTGAAATGAAGTTAATAAAAGAAGTGTGAAGAAAGAAAAGTTCTTTCAGTGTCTCCTCAGTATGGGTTTAAAGGCAGTGGACACAGTGGGTGGAGGGCGGAGCGATTTTTGTGACGTCACTCAGCGTGATTGGTGGAACGGTGTTACGAGTGATCTGACCACGCTCTCCGGCGCGATGAGGTGTCTGTTCCACCAATGACGTCTAAGGACGTCATCAAAACCGCTCCACCCTCCAGGCATCGTGCTCACTGCCTTCAAAAGCGCAACAAGCTAATGCGCTGGGAGGGACTTTCAAAGTCCGTAGAAGCTCGAAAACCAGCCTAGCATACCCCCTCCCGAGTTCTCTGGTACTTTTCAAAATTGACTTTTGACAACAGAAACTGTTCCTTGAACATCAAAGGGAACCTCTGGTCGCTGCAATTCCCTCACATACCTTCCCAATTCACTGCTCATCCCTGTGCCTCTTCAAATGCGAGGCGCATTCTCAAGCTATAGACTGAGACTACGCCACTTTCTTCTCAGAAATCTGTGCATGCATAGATGAAATAGAGTACATAAGATTGTTTTATATTCGTCAAAGTACAAATACATACACATTTGATTGGGAAATAAAACATGTGAACCTCGGAAAGCTCTGACAAGTGGATTCGTTGTGTAGGAAATGCATGAACCAGGATATTCATAAGAGATCCAATTAAACTCGACTCGCGAACACATCAGAAGTTGTGCTACACGTCTGGCAACTGAAAAAAACAACATGTCCTTCAGATGTTTTCTTTGAATTCATCTCCTTCCTCTACATTCGATTAAGTTTACGTCGTTCATTTTTTTCTGCTTTATTTTTGATTTCTTTAGATTTCTAATGTGACCATCGCAAAGGCGAGACCCTATCGACAATATACTGAAACTTGGATGTGGGTCAGGAAATTCAGGTTGTGGCAAAGCCATTGCCGTTCGCGCAGCGTTTCTAGAGGAAGAGTCTCATCGCAAAATTTCTTGATTTCATGTCGTAGCACGGGGACAGAACCCGATAATTTACGTGAAAAAGGCTGGTAAGCAGAAAAATCTTAGCCAAAGAACAAAACTGTAATTTAAAATTTTCCTGTACCGCACCGTTGCCGCGAATTTCGGTACTAATACGGCAGCAACAAATCTTGTGAAGAAGGGGAAATTTTAAGGAAAATGACAATTTTCGTTGAACGCTGCTGATTTTATAAACAGCTCCTATAAAATATAGGGTGTAATCCAGGGGGCAGGTGGGGCTTTTTCAGGCATGTAGTGTAACCCATAGCCCAGGTGGGATTTTGAATGAGAAAAACTGTGACACGCCAAAAAAGCCAACATTCGGTATTTACAATGGTATAACATCCTTTCATATAAAATTTGTAAAGTCAATCTACAAAAATAACCTAGTAAGTGACTCTTATTAACCTTACGTCATCAGATTCGTTGCTTGCGAAAATATTGTGCACATCGGACGACAATCACCATAAACCAACTATGTATGAAGACCGTAATACCGTAAATCAGGGCACCAAATAGCGCCACCAGTGTATGATCACTGAAAAATATAATGTTACTATACTTTATGTGGTCAATAACTAGCCTAACGCAGGTAGCAGACAATCTTGGAGACGAAATAATCGAACAACGATTCCGAAATAGGTGATTAGGTCAGGAAGGACAAAACTCGTTGACTCGTTGCATGGAGTGTGCCTGCAACCGCAGGATACGGAGCAGAAAAACTTAACTGCGACCTGACAATGATCAAGAAATCCTTGTCATTCATGGCCAAATTTCAGCCTTTCTCTTGAACCATTGGCTAACATGCCTTTGGCCGATAAATGTAAAAATATAGAGGCGTCCGCTGCTCTTGCCTGAAGGATCAGATCAATGAAAGGTTGAGGAAGAGTCCGACAAACGCGGTGATGGATATGATGTAGAAGTATTTTTGGAAGCGAGCCTAGCACTGGAAAGTCTGCATGTTCGTCCCAGGCCATACCAGCGGTGAGTTTTCTGTATTGGAATGAATTATTAGCAGGAGTTTCAAAATTTCATTCAGGATCCTTCACCTTTCTGACACTGGCTGCAGCCCAGATGGTCAGAGATTCCCGGACAATAGGAGTAGGTTAGGTAGATGTAAGGAAAGGGAGACCGAGTGGTGCAATCGCCAGGATTGGGCACTGGCAGGGGTATGCCTTTCAAAAACCGATTATGTCACAGAAATCGGGACTAAGCCTTAGAGTCGAGGAAAAGGGACCCCGAGTTTCAGTGAGCGTATTTCATTATCCCCAAAAGCTCCTGTCTCCTATGCTTGGTTTCAGAGGATGCTTTGATAGCGCGAGGTTAGAGCCCATCCGAATAACTCAGAAAATTTTTCGCAGCACCACGCTTGATCCTGGCTGGTGCGCACCAAGTTTGGGCAAACCACCAGCGAGTTTATCGCCAACTGACGGAAAGCTGCCTATGTATAGGCTATCCCACGCCAGCATGCGCGCTTCCTTCGTCCCACCGGCCACGCCAATCCAAACTATTACCGACCAGTACTAGACTAGTAAGACTATGAGGCATGACTCTAAGTGAGCATTGGTTCATATCTAGGAATTGGAGGGAAACCCCGGGGTGCCTGGACAATTTCACTCCCACTTTTACATCCGCCCTCGAGCTTCCTTGCCTTGTGGATCACTCTGGGCGATATGAAATACCGTACCTATGCCACCTCTCCCCTTTTTACTGGATGAGGCTCCAGAATGATGTTTCCTCGAGGAATCTTAGGAGGTCTTCGAAGAGAGAAATCACCTGTACGCGTAGTGACCTTGAAGTATTCCGAAATCGACTTCACATGTCCTGCAAGGAGAATTTCGATTTGTTCTCCAGCGTATGACGTCGGATCAATGACAGCCGATGCGTAGAATGTGGTCAGTAGCACACAAAAGCTTACAGTGACCATCTAAAAACAAAGCGGTATGTTCGGAAATCAAAACGATAGAAATACAATGCCGCTATCAATTGACCGATTCCGGGTGCGAAGAGGGCTCCCTATTTTGGCACGATTGAGTCAGGGATCAGATCCATGTGGTATTGGATTTCTCACCCACCACAGTAGAAAATCTTGGGAAAACACAAACACGTACAGTAATAGCAAGAGCTTACGCTGATAATGGTGAATGGCTGCAAAAATGCCGGCTGTTCCCTGACCACTCCATACACCAAACACAACACCGCAATGCTATCCGAGACGAGAAACAGCAATTGCCAATTCCATTGAACCTGAGCGAATAATAAGTTTCAATAAAACTATTTCGCTTTACTCAGGCATCTCATCTTTACAGTTTCGGTTATATTACTTTTTGATTATCGATCACCGGAAGCCGCTTGTTGATGGTGAGTCACCGCCAGGCCCACATTTACTCATGCCTTGGTCCACCTTTTCAAACGGGGGTAAAACAGGAAGGACTGCCCAATTCTCCACCCTAGAAGCGAGCGACGATCATTAAGCCGTGACTCATTGAGGGTTTGACCTCAATAAGGGAAAGGGCTAGACGAAAAGCGTAGCTATCGTTCTTCCTAAAAGAGAAGGAGGAAGATTTCTTTTGAGCTTTCTTTTTCTATCCAATTAGGATCTCCTTGACAAACATGTAATGTGTATGTGGGTGAAAGTAAACATATGCTGAAAATGAAGAAAGTAGATTGTTGGGAACAAATCGATTTAAAGGACTCTCTCGATCCCCTAACTTCGGGGAAGGATAGCGTTCTCCCCAGGCACAGCCTACCCGGTAGGGTAGATAAAGTCGGTGACCACGTCAAGTTGAACAATATTGATGGGGCCCAGCTGTTCCCAAACTTACATTACGTTCGGAAACAAGAACATCAGTCGCGTCTCGCCCATTCCCCAAACCCAACCTCAGATTTTCCCACAACCCCAGTTACCTCAAACAAGTTTACTAAACGCTCTCGGTTCGTCGGATCGACAAAAGTCTTGAAGGATCAGGCTTTTGGCGACGGGGGAGTGGCAAACAAGAAGGTGCCGCTTTAAATAGTTCCGACGCCTAAGGGCCAGCCATGATATCTGCAATGTGGTCCCCAAACGACAGACTCGAAAAAAAAAATACAAAATAGCCATAATGTACCGAAAAATACCAAAATTACCGATACCGAAAATTTTTTGCAATCGTTCAGGGGCTAACCTCGTTAGATTTGACTAGTCGAATTCCCAAATTCGAGACAATCATTGTCGCATAGAAAATCGCCACTCCATATGCGCCATTCTAAATCATTCATACTCCATCACGCATGACACACACAATCGATAAATCGATCAAATCAGTAATAAAATCAATGATACTTCGGATGTATTACCTTTATTCCGATCAAACTACAACAGCATTTATATTTCCTTTCATCATCATAGCACACTGACGAAATGCTCATAGTTGGACCATCCTGCAACAAGCTACGATTATATAAACTAGGTTTTACTGTATTAGAGGATTACTGTAGCAAGGATAGGATACTGTAGGAATACTATGCCATGAGGGATGGTGCCTGAATGAAAAAAAGGAGTCGATAGTTGAGTGGGCCAACATCAACAACAGCAACAGCAGTGGCTGCTGGCTGACCGGCTAGCTGGCCGGACGATCAGCGTGGTGGCCGGCTGCGGTTCGGTAATCGTCTGGCCAAACATGAAACCGCGACGGAACTTCGATGGAGAGAGAAAGCGGAATTGGTGGGTGAAACGCGGAGACGCGGACGTACCTCCGTCGAATTTGCACCTTCACTGTCCATTTTCTCGTCTCACACATCACCTGCCTACTATAAAAAGCATCCCAACAGATAAGCTCTCACAAGGAAAGGGTGCGGCATCGGAATTTCCAATCTTCATTGTTCCGAGTATTCTCGCGTTCTCGAGAAAATTCGAGTCTTAAAGTAGAAATGTCTTGCTAAGCTATGAACTGGTTCACGATTCGCGTCGGTGAGCATTCCATTTCCAACTCAAATTATGAGCCGTAAACAGCACTTCCTGCATCTACGGTATCATAATTCACCTTTGCGCCAGCCCTCGAATTGACAGTTTCGCCCAGGGTTAATCGTCGCGTCCGCACTTTTCCAAAATTTTTGCAATCCCTCCTCTTAGGAGTCGATGAGACCCCAACCACCATCATCAGCCTTGGAAGGGTCCTCCATTACAACCCTCCACAAGACCCCACCACGCCTCTGAAGACCGCAATGACAATCTTCCAGTTTCGCCCATTTTTTTAATCTCACTGGCAACGTTTTCGCCAAAATCATCAAAAACCTCTGCAAACAAATACGAACCCCCATTCGCAATATTCCTGATCGTGATAAACCTTTCTTCCCCTCAAGTGCGATCCCTCCCCTAAAATCGCAAATGCGACCCCCTCGTTCGAATAGCGCGAACGGATGGTTGGCCCTGGTTTCACCACAATCAACCAACCTGAAGGTGCTGTTGAAGGCTGATTGAAGAAGTTCAGAAAAATGCAAATTTGATCTGCACTACTCGCTTCGCTGCGCAGTCTACACAGCTCCAAAAAAGCGGAGGGTTTCAAGAAAAATTAAGATTTGTAGAAATGGTCGGTCGTTAAAGCACTGCTTTTGCTCAACAAACTGCACAGTTGGTGGCCTTCTTCCTTCTAAAATTCCCTCAAGTATCTGTTGAAATCGCTAGAGCGGCCAGAGCACGGCGAGTTCTTCAGGTCACACTGGACTTTTCATGGGAACAAAAATTTCCTTTGAAATTTTCTTTGCTTTCCAACAAAATACCTCAAGAAACAAATAATATAAAGGAATCTTTTTTCCCCTTGCCTGGGGGAAGGATAGGATACGGCCCCATGAGGAAAAGAAGTGCACAAGTAGCCATTTCGGGAATACCTCCTAACGCTGCTATATATAAAGAACTATTCTGTCTGCGAGCATGTGTCTGCCGCGAAATTCGACACCACCTGAAGAATGAGCTGGAGAACTTGTGTTAGGTGTGGGGTAGTATGCAAGACGATTTTATGACACCAATTTTGGCTGTTGGCAAATTTTGGTGGGCTAGCTAGATGGTTGGGGAATAAGGCACCAAGCACTTTCTTAGCTCTGAGAAAATCGCACTTTCGCTCACTTAAACCCATCCCTTACTTTTCATGAATCAAATGCTTGGCGTCAAATCCATCCGACAGGCTAAAAACCCTGCCTGGCTGGTCGGTGCAG